CCCTACCAGGTTCTGCTTGGAAGGCTTTTATTTCCACAGACATATTTTGATACCGGAGGCAGTTTTATTTCTTAGCTAATTAGATATTTATATTTTTATTCTTCCATTCTTCAACAATTTAGTAATTATTCTAATTAAAAACGTGTTTGCTTGCTTTTAGTTTCGTCTTTTTGTTTTTGTTCTGGTTTTTTTGATGAAGACTGATGGAGATCTAGTTCTTTTCAGATTTGTGGGTTTTTTCTTTTGTTGTTTAGTTGTATGAATTAATTTTATAATGTTTGATAGTGCTAAGGAGAAATTTTCATACTGCTGTGGTATATCTGGATAAACTAAACAGAACTTTTTTAATGTAGTGGAATACTGGTACAGCAAGTGAGGAAAATTAGCAGCTACAACTTCTAGAATGGATTCTTACAGGACCTATTTGGCAACTGTCAAACTTAGTGGCTCGTGGTTGGAAGAACAAGGTGAAGATATTTATGAGGTTGAATCTCGGGTACCTTTACCACATCCTTTTCCTCTGTGTGAACATTTGGATGAAAATAACTCAGTAATTGTTAATACTTCTATTTTTCATTTTATTGATAAAAGAAATGGGCATATATTAAAGCTTATTTCCAAAATTTCCCTGCCTACCCCTCCTTATTCAGTAAGTATAAAAATTTGGTTTTTTATAGTTTTATTTTATGCTTTCAGTTTTTTATACATTTAGTTTAAAACTGTAATGAGAAATGAACTTTAAGTGTCTTTGGTAAGGGTAAATGGAATAGAATCTTGTTTTCTTCTTGTTTGGTGTGTTACTACTCATTCATCCTGTAATGATTAATGTATTAAAGGGCTAAATTTTGTTCACAAGCCCCAACTTGGCTATGTTTTTCATTGCAGAAAGCAGAATAAGATAATATTTCAGTTCTCCCATGCCAGGCAAGCTGTTTAAAAAGATCCTGCTTGTCCTTAACTTCTATATGTTTATGATGCCAGTCCTGAGTAAAAATGGAATGATTATATTTAAAGGAATAGGCATTGTCATACCTAAAACAGCTAAGTGAATTGTCATTGAGCCAATTAGGAAATGTTTACAATTATATGGCATATTGCCTGTGGTTCCAGAAAAGAAAAAAGGAAACCTGGATTCTTATTTCAGTTTTTTTGCTAACTCCCTAAGGAGCTTATTTTTAATATGCCTACTAATCCTATGAGGAAATTCCTTTTTCTGCTTTTTATGTGAAATGTATGTTATAAGCAGTGTTAAGGGTATTTAGCATAGTTAGTATTTCAGGTTCATTTGACACTTAAATGTTGTGAATGATTCACTACAAGCTACTCAGTATGTTATTTGCCACTTGTGACTTTTATGGCTTTAATTATATGTACTAGCTAGTATTTAACAAGACAGATGCTTTCAGAATAGTTTTGTTACCTCCCCTAAAGCTTTTATATTAAAATGACAGATTATTTACTAATGATACATACTTTTAATGTAGTAAGTTTATTAAATTGTGTGAAAATATTGAATATATTTTTATATATTTCACATTATTAAGTATTAGGTTATAGGTATTATATAAATATTAGGAATAAACTGTACCTTAACTGGATGGAAGAGGTTTTTTTAAGTATAATGTATTTAAATAAATATTTGAAGGAATCTCTTATTCCAATAAATGTGGGTGCCATCTTCTATAATAAGTGAAATTTGTTTCCTAGATCTACTCTATTTGAGTCCCAGCTTTTTTGTTTTGCTTTGTAAAACTGAAGTTATTTCTTGTGGTTTCATAGTAATATTTAAATGCATCTTAAAGCAGGTTCAGATCTTGTCAGAAAATAGAATATAGAAGCCGACTTATTTTTCTTATCTAAAGCAAGTGTTTATTTTGTTGTAAGTGCATTGTTGTATTTGTAAAGTAAATTTGAAAAAGGAAAAAAAAACTCATATCCTAATTAGTTAGAGCTATGAACTGTTTTAGAGATTTCATATATTTCAGGCAACCATTTTACAATGTACAGGAAAAAAATTACATATGTACATGTGAAAGCAGTTGATTTATTTTTAAAATATAGGCTGGGACTAAGTTCAGGAGCAGGGCTTTTTATAAATTAGTTCATATTTTATGGTCATTTTTTAATTTTAAAAATTAATGTATACTGGTTATCCACATTTAAAGGAAAATAGTCTTTTGCCAGTCAAAAGTAAAAATATATATAAAGTTTTATCTTTGTTGAGGTAGCAACATATTATTACAGATATTTTAGGAAATATTTTGTGATTAAAATACGTGCTTAATTTTCCATTATGAATCTTAAATGTGTATGCATATTATTTTCAAGTAATGGGTTGTGAATGATATTTAAAACATCATATTAAAACAAGAATAATTACACAATAGATATGTGAGATACTGATTTATCCAACCACAAAATGGTACCACAAAAAGCTTTACTTAGTAACTCTAAAATCTATATGCTGTGGTAAATTTTTAAATGCTATGGTAAATTTTTTTTTAATGTAATGGTGTTAATATTAAATACCAGAAACATTTGTGCTCAGTTTTTCCCCATGTAGTTGTTTTAATAAAAACAGATAAAGCAGGTGCTAGCAGTAAGAAGCCCGGAAAACTAAAGCAGAGATAGTGCTTTTCTGCAATTTCGTGCAGCTGATAACAGTTATCACTGTTTTTGATCGCTTTGGCCTTGAGCCTGTACTTGACTGTCATCTTAAAAATTGTTTAAGAATGTGGTCAGTATATGCCAATAACAGCATTTTAAGGAGGCTGTGTTTATAGATAATGCCTCTATATTCTAAGGTTTTGAAAATAAACTGAATGTTCAGAGTCTTGTAGATGTTTCACAAATGGACAGAAGTATAAAGCTTTTAGTTAAAATATGGGTTAAACTTCATTTTGTTGTGCCACTATGATTTTATTCATTGATGACATTGCATTAATCATTTTTTATTAGTTCCCCACAGTGTACAGCAGGAGTCGCAGTCAATAAGTGTTAAATACAGAAAACATAAAGCTTATCATAGAACACATGGTTACATAAAATTCTTTACCAAATACAAAAAGAGCCTGTGTATTATTAATTTTATATCTCTTTTCATATGATAGCATATAGATCTAGTGATGTAAAGTGGTTTATTTTCAAAAGAAGCTTTTTTTGTTGCTCAGTAAAGTTAGAATACATATTTTATGGAAAGTTATGTATTATACACAACTAATCTACTTAGCTACTGATTTTACCCTACCTACTAGTACTAGCATGCACTAGAAATATTAAAGGACTACAATTCAACAGTATATCTTTATTTTCAGTTAAATTTTCTTTTTTTTTTTTTTTTTTAAAGCTTTAATGGGGAATGACACTGGTATTCTTAACACTTTGTCTTCCTTCACGTCTGCTTTCCCTCTTTGTTTAGCTGGAACATGCGAAAGTTACACAGACAGAATTGATGTGTGAGTCATTTAGACAGAAACAAGAAGTAACAGAGTCCCTTAAGTGCCAAGAAGAACTGCGAGAGCGCCTTCATGAGGAGTGCAGGGCCAGAGAACAGCTGGCTGTGGAGCTCAGTAAGGCTGAAGGTGAGCACCCTGCCATTGGCAACTGAGGGTGGAGAAATTTCAAGTCTAAAAATAAATTGTGGTGCAAGCCAAGTTTGGAAACCACCAGTCTACTTTTAATTTCAAATGCCCATTGAAAAGTAGTTATAGTTTGTCTTCAGAATTCCTCTAAGCAGTTTTAAAAACTATATATATTTTTTTAATTTTAAAAAGTACTTAGTAGAATTATAGAAAGTATTTAAAATTTTAGAAAATACAGAAGTGAACGATTAGTGAATTGTTACCATAATCCCACCATAAGACAACGGTTATAATTTAAAGATGAGGAAACTGGAGCAAAGAGATGCTAATAAATTGTTCAGTCACAACTAAATCGTGATTCCAGGCTTTAAGCCTGTAAAGCTCCATGTTGTTTATATCCTACCATGCTGTTGTGGGTGTTGGCCTTCTAGAATCACTTAAAATATCAACTTCCTCAAGTATATTTAAAATGTGATTCAGTTCACAAGCATCTGATTTATATTAAGCTTTCCAGGAACCTATCTATTTATATCCGTTTAATAAAGTGTGTTATACCTACATGATGTGATACATTAGCATAACAGAAAATTCAGAGGAATTTCTTATTTAGACACATATTTAATAAGAAAAGGCTATGTTGAGCATAGCATAGTTACTGCTGTCATCAGCAGCAAATTCATTCAAGACTTAATAGGTTGGAATGATTTAAAATTTGCTAACAGAACACCTTTTATTATTTATATAAATATAATGGTAAAATTTGAAATAATAATTACATTCCTTGTTAATTTTATTTTGTAGGTGTCATTGATGGCTATGCAGATGAAAAAACGCTTTTTGAAAGGCAAATTCAGGAAAAAATTGATATAATAGATCGTCTTGAGCAGGAGTTGTTATGTGCAGGTAATAGATTACAAGAATTAGAAGCAGAGCAACAGCAGATCCAAGAAGAAAGAGAATTACTGTCGAGGCAGAAGGAAGCTATGAAAGCTGAGGCAGGCCCAGTTGAACAGCGTATGTATTTTTAGACTTTATATGAAACATTCCTGAAAGGTTCAAGATGACTCTTTTCCCCCTTTCAGTGCCATTATTTATATATTTTATATAGGGATTGAAAAATAATAAGAAAATCTACCTTATTGGTAATTGTCTTATTAGCCAACCATGTGGAATCAAATTTGTTTTCTTTCTCCTTTGGCATATTTTGACAGAAAAAGATAATTCTTTATTTATCCTTAAACCTCTGCCTAAAGAGAAAGCTGCATATAATGAGGCAGGATATTTTTTAAACTGTGTAAGATTTAGTTCTTTTTTTTTTGCGGTACGCGGGCCTCTCACTGTTGTGGCCTCTCCCTTTGCGGAGCACAGGCTCCGGACGCGCAGGCTCAGCGGCCGTGGCTCACAGGCCCAGCCGTTCCGCGGCATGTGGGATCTGCCCGGACCAAGGCACGAACCCATGTCCCCTGCATCGGCAGGCGGACTCTCAACCACTGCGCCACCAGGGAAGCCCAGATTTAGTTCTTTTAATTGCAGAAAGGCAGCAAAATGTATACTTGCATTAACTAAGAGCACTGACCTGCACTAGTATTGAGCAGGTGAGGTGGATTTCAGCCTGCAAGATAATAGATTGAAAAGGTCACTGGCTCTTAGAAGCAGGCTGACATCTAGTTTAATATAAGCAGGACTTCAAAGAATAAATAAGTTTACAGGGCTTCCCTGGTGGTGCACTGGTTGAGAGTCCGCCTGCCAATGCAGGGGACACGGGTTCGTGCCCCGGTCCTGGAAGATCCCACATGCCATGGAGCAGCTGGTCCCGTGAGCCATGGCCGCTGAGCCTGCGTGTCCGGAGCCTGTGCTCCGCAACGGGAGAGGCCACAGCGGTGAGAGGCCCGCGTACCGCAACAAAACAAAACAAACAAACAAAATAATAAGTTTACAAATAACCTTTAATTTTTTCTTAAATGAGACATTAGGTAACATCTTAAAGTTTGTTCGGTGGTAAAAAAAAATAAATGTCAGTCTTTGTAACAGTGGAACTTTAAATCCTTTTAATCATATCCTCTCACTTTTATATTACACATGCAGTCAGATTATAAATGTGTAGTTTTACTAATTGAATTTTATCAATTTAGAGATACAACATACATTTTTGTAATATGGTGAAGTTTTTCTGGTTGCTCAAATTTGTTTAGCACAGGTTTAGGGTTGGAATTTTTTGTGTGGAAAGTATATGCATGATATATGAAAAATGTTTAAGAAATACTGATACATCTGAAAATGTTACCAATGATAATAATCAGTGGTTTCAACTTTTACTTCTAATTCTTTTGTGTATGTGTATTATTCTATTTTAGGAAATAGAAGACATGTAAATTATCATATTTTTGTTCTCTGTGTGTGTTTTTTCTTTCCTAATAGGACTAGTAGATGCTGCAGTCGATGCAGCACCTGGAGCAGGTGTGTTTATACAATTGCATGGCCATTGGGTGACCCTTGGATTTTTCAACCAACTAACATATCTCTAATTTTGCTGTTTTGTTTCATACTTACAGTTTTTCTCTTTAACAACAGAAAAACTCTTCTTACAATAAAAATACATATTTATATTTGGAATTAACAACTGAGATTCATAGTGACCATCATCTTCTTATATCTATTATTCCACAGAGCTTAAGACCATTTCAGTTTTTTAAAGAAAACGTTGGTTTATTAAAAGTTTTTTTCTTTAACAAATATATTAAACTCTTACAGCCTGTGAGTTTTCAAAATACTCTCTTCTAAATCAGGAAGTATGTAAGATGATGGTATCAGTAGGATCAGTGAAATTTAATAAAGAGAATTTCTGGTTGATTAACTTTTATATTAACATCTAAATCAGTATTGTTTTAAAAGGAAAGCTGTTTTCTGTAGATTTCTAATCCTGAGTACAGTGTTGACAGACCAGTTAGTGTAAAGACTCTAGATTATATTCCTTCCATTTTCTTCATTAGAGAATTGTTCTACTTTGCTATATGTAATTTATTATTGTATGATTAATATTAATAATAATGGCTAACACTTACATGTAGTGCTTACCATAGTCTAGGCACTGTTCTTCACATATGTTAACTCATTTGATTCCACAACAACTCTTAGAGATCAGTACTGTTACTTTCCCCAGTTTACATATAAGGAAATTGAAGGACATCGTGTTAAGTGTCGCAGAGACAAGTGGCAGTTAGGATGTGAACCCACAGTCTTTGCTCTTAAGCACCACACCACACCTCTCTTACTTGTCAATTTTCCCGTGATACACATACATGTGAGCATGCAAGACTAAGTCAGGAATGTGGATCTAATAAGGAGTAAGGCTAACAGGAAATTCTGATTCTAGTTGTATTTCTTTTCTGTAACTCTTACTTGCCTTGGTTAAAGGTTTAAAGTATTTGATCTCTGTGTGTATTGTGTATGCATATAAAAATGACTTTATGGGTTTAAATTAATTGATTTTTGCCTGAGGTGAGTTCTTTCTGTGCTTGAATTTGGTTAGACTTTGCTCTTTTCCTTATAGTGAAAGTGGATTTTGAGGGGGTCATTTGCTATGCTCTTTTCACAAAAATATTGTTTTTAGTGACAGGACATATTCTTTCTGTTAATTCTGTACAATTTTATTGATACTAGCTTGCTTACTTATATAGGAATATGTTATTTTGATATTTTCATAAGAGTATTTTCCTTTTTTACATGCGTTTGAAGTAAAACTCGTCTCCTTTATTTCATGAAGTTAAAATTTGAATACAGTTATGGGTGGTTTTACTATCATAACATCATTAGTTGTGATTTAATGTAGTATATTTTTGCACTTATAAACAGAATTACTACAGGAGACAGAAAAACTGATGAAGGAAAAACTAGAGGTACAGTGTCAAGCTGAAAAAGTACGTGATGACCTTCAAAAACAAGTGAAAGCTCTAGAAATAGATGTCGAGGAACAAGTCAGTAGATTTATAGAGCTGGAACAGGAAAAAAATGCCGAACTAATGGATTTAAGACAGCAAAACCAAGCACTGGAAAAGCAGTTAGAAAAAATGAGAAAATTTTTAGATGTAAGTATTCTTAACATTAATATTAATTTTCTCAGTGGAATGCTACTTGCTGCTCTTCTAGGTTGTGGATTTTATATTATGGAGGGACTCTTAAATTCTAATATTTCCATCTATATGTGTCATCTACTAATTAATTGAAAAGTACTATTTCGATTAAAAATTCTAGTAATTTTTATTGTGCAGCTTTCAGAATTAAAAGCAGTACAGGCAGATTACGAGTAAGCCCTACCAGTTAGCCTTTCCAAATTCATAGTTAAGAAGTTTGTCCTAGTCTTTTTCTTAACCAATAGCCAAAGCAAGTTAGGATCCTAAAAGCTAATTGGCCACCAGTGTTTAACCCATAAAAGATACACAGGTAACAAGTGTGCCCTGGAAGCAAAGGACTGGAATAGTTGTCATGCTGTCATTACTCTCTTCAAAAAAGATGTTAAGTCTCTAATTTCACATGGATTTTCTTCCTTGGGATTTCATTTAAGCCGTGTGTTATCTTCACAGATCATAGAATAAGATTCTTACACATTTTATAATTTTAGGTGTAAAACCTAGATTAAAATGAAAGAAATTGATTTACCACACAATTTGTTCTACTTTTTTTTTGTTTAATGACTAAATTAATAGTGGAATTCCTCCTTTCTTCCAAAAAAGTAAATTCATTTTAAGAAGAACATATTTATTTCATTCTGTGTTTAACATTACTTGAATTTTTAAAAGTGTTGTGCTTCAGATAACATTTAAATGCTTAAATTTTTGTTGAAGAGCTGTAATAGGTTATGTACCATACAACAAATGTTATCTTTTTAAACCTTTTTGATTTGGGGTATTCCCGTGATCATCAGTTGTTTGTCTTCAAACAAAACTGTGCCTACAAGTAAAGGGAAGTAAGGGAAATAATAGCTTCAATAAATATTATTTCTTCATTTACTATTACTATTAAACTTCAGGAGCAAGCCATTGATAGAGAACACGAGAGAGATGTATTCCAACAGGAAATACAGAAACTAGAACAGCAACTTAAGGTCGTACCTCGATTCCAGCCTATCAGTGAACATCAAACTAGAGAGGTAAGAATTTTACTGATACTGTCTGCCGTACAATAATTTGTATATTATGTGTAAAATAAGATGCATATAATAAAAAACTTAAAAGGACTTCTTTCTATTGTATATAAATCTTCAGAATCAGAAACTTAAATATTACTTCAATATGAGAAGGTTCTTGAAACCCTAAAAATTCCAAAGAAGTATAAAATACCTATAAACTCATTGTAGTAAAATGTTATTTACATTCTCATTTTATAGAAGGAAACTGATGTGGAACAGCCTTATCTATTGGAGCAGTAGAAAAGTTATCAATCCCCACAGAGTTTATAGTTATTCATCTTGTTCCTGACCTTTTTAGATTTTGAAAAGTAGCTGTGTGTTCGTTGACACTCAAAAGAATATTTAAGCTCTAGAACTTCCTGTCATTTCCTACTATTTGTTTTCTTATATTTAAAAAGAGTGAGCTGCCTCATTCATGAAACTTCAAGAAACTAACAAGGATGTGTGTATTTGATTTTCTTCCAAATCATTGATCCGTTTGTTTTCTCCTTACTTTGCCAGATCTGAGTCCCCAGCTTCTGATTTTTTCAGGATCAAAAAAAAAAAAAAAATCTAACTGTAACAGTATATTGTGCCATTTTGCTATACCTCCTTTACTGTCTTTTCCTTTGACTTCACTTCAAACTTAGTCCACCTTTTATTGTTAAAGTTTCTCCTCAGGCTTTATTACTGTCATCCTTGAACCTGTAATTGTAGGTAAGCTTGCATTTCTTCTAATGTTTTGAGGAATAAGTGCCATTTTTAGATGATTTCCTGAAAGTATCTCCCTGAAATAAGGTAGAATTCCTTTTTTTCTTACCATCACGTTTCTTTTTTTTAAATAAGTTTTCTCTCTTCACTTGATTAGAACTAATTTCACAAGCTACCTTATTGATCCTTCCTGTATCCTTCCATCAGAGAGCCATTCACTTGAATGGTGCTGCATATCAGAATCACTTAGGGAAACTTTCAGGGTGCACAAATCCCTCTCAGCACCTGGTATTCTCCTCTGTATTCTGGGCTGGTGGAATCTGTAGGCTGCAAAGCTTTCCAAGTGACTGTATTAAAGGTCCCCAATTTCCTCCCATCCCTGTGGTATTTAGAACCATTGTATTATTATATGTATTGATATAACCATTTGTGGAAAGAAAAACATAATCCGTGAAAGTTTTTTAGGTCACCTTATCTTACATATAAATGTTAAGTCAGTACTGTGTAAACTTGTTTTATTAGGTTTTGGTGTGGCTGTGCCATTAGAGCTTGTAATTCAACATTATTCAAAAATGTATTGTTGCTCCTTCTAGCTAGAGAAACTGTTAGTCTTAAGAGAACTTTTTTAAAAGGTTTGGTGAAAGCAATATTATTTCTCTTTTACTAGTACTGCTTAGATGTATCAACTCAGAAAACGTTGCTGTAGTTGGAGACAATAGTGCTATCCTTACCAAAAATAAAATTAGCATAGCGTCTAAAAATCCTTTTTGAAATGAGGATAGATATATTATTAACATGCTTACATTTTTTAACATTACAGTTTTTGCTTATTATATTTCCAGGTTGAACAGTTAACAAATCATCTGAAAGAAAAAACAGACAAGTGCAGTGAGCTTTTGCTCTCTAAAGAGCAGCTTCAGAGGGATATACAGGAGCGTAATGAAGAAATTGAGAAACTGGAGTTCAGAGTAAGGGAATTGGAGCAAGCCTTACTCATGAGTACAGACAGTTTTCAAAAGGTGTGACATTTTCTTTGCGTTAATTTTATCAAGTGTTTTAGTACGGATTACTCTTAGTTACATGAACATCAGTTTCTGTTTTTGTTTTTGTTTTTTTTTGCGGTACGCGAGCCTCTCACTGTTGTGGCCTCTCCCGTTGCGGAGCACAGGCTCCGGACGCGCAGGCTCGGTAGCTGTGGCTCACGGGCCTAGCCACTCCGCAGTATGTGCGATCCTCCTGGACCGGGGCACGAACCCGTGTCCCCTGCATCGGCAGGCAGATTCTCAACCACTGCGCCACCAGGGAAGCCCCGAACATCAGTTTTTTTTAATTAAAAAAATCACTGATGATGCTTTGTTGATATTATTGTGTAATGTATATATCTTGATGTCTTCATTGACATCATAACCATTTCTGTTTATTCTTATCTACAAATGTTACTTGCATATGAGTCCTGATAAAGATTAATTAAACCAGAAGAATTAATTGCCCTTTTAACCATCAGTAAGTTTGTGATTCTAAAATAATAGCAAAGTGAAAAATCTGTAAGCACCAGTTTAGGCTGATGCTTTACCCCAAACTAAGAAGCAATGAGATCTGTTCCTGTTATGCTACAGAAAGCAAAGATGAATGAAAGAACAGGTTAAGGAAATTGGGAGGGGAGCAGCTGAGGGGATAGCCTTCATTTTATCTGAGAAATGAATTTTAAGATTGTCAGGCAATTCCTGTGTTAATTTGTATAAAATGCATTCAAGACTGAATGTTGTAACTTTTGATCATTCACTAATGTAGATTATCTACTTCTAATTAGAGAAATAGAATTGCTACTTCTCCAATTAAAATGGATAGTCAGGATTTAATGTCTGAAATTTTGAGAAAATTCTTATATATTTAAAGGTAGAGGACCGAAGACAGTTTGGATCTGTAGAAGCTAAAGCGGAATTGTCTCTAGAAATACAGTTGCAGGCTGAGCGAGATGCCATAGACAGAAAGGAAAAAGAGGTAAGTTTATTTTTAATGACAAAGTGTGGCTTGAATTATTTTAGAAAATATCATTTGATTAGAATGAAGTTTATGGTCTAAAACCAAAGTTTAGAGTTTCTTAGCTTATTGCCTAAGTTGAACTTGGAAGACAGTAAACATTTCAACAAACAACCTGGAATGAAGAAGAGGGGACAAGTAAAAACGCTTGGACACGGGAGGAAGTTTTGAGGACAGAAAAGGTGGCTGGTTTGGTAGGTATGAATTCAGTGAAGAGGAGAGTGCAGAGAGATAGTAGGGTTTGGGCCCAAGGCAGTATCTTCCTCTTGACCTTACCATAGGCTTTGAATTACTGCTACTTTGCTGTGGGTTTTGTTTTTTTTTAAGTTGTATTGCCCTGGGAGATAACAGTGCCTTTTTACACTGTGCTAAACATGTTCTTAAAACAAAAGATTAATAATAAAGTAATTCTATAAAGTTCTTTTATGTTTTTCTACTCCCTCCCTTTCCAAAAAAAAAAACCCAGAAAATGCACTTTTAAAACAGCAGTAATTTCCAGTTCCTAATTATTTAAACCTTTGTCTACCATTAGTTTTTCTAAAGCATATTGTACTCTGTGTCATCTAGCTATATCATATTTTGAATGTTTCAAAAATTTTAATTACATTTTTATCTCTTTCCATATAATTTTCTCAGGACATTTGATGTATTTTAAGAAATATTTATTGAATGTAAACAGTATATTAATGTTAATGAGTGCTTTGAAAAATAGAAGAATGATTTAGATGTCAGCTTGGAGAACTTGTAGTTTGGAGGAGAAAAAAGTCATCTATATAAATGACTAAATGGAAATGATCATTTCCATGAGAATGGTTATTTTCTCATTTTCACGTAGTACTGACTAATGTTTATCTTAGAGATTCGTATTTATTTTGTTTTTTGGCTTTTATGTGAGAGACAGAGAATATTTTTGTTGATATGTAACCACTTCTGTGTGTTTCGGAAAGAATTAACATTTAAAGATTTACCTTACACTAAATAATCAAATAAATTGTCTGCTTTCTAAAAAGATGGAACTCCAAAACTGGTCACAAAGGCAATGATAATTGATTATGGATAACTGATTAAGTTTACTAATTTTATATTTTTATTGTCATTTGAATTTTATTTAATGCTACTTAACACCTTAATTTCTTGAAGTAAGTATCCAATAACTGCCTACCATTTACTTAGACTCATACTTATTGGAACTACAAGAGGCCTTAGAGAGCTTCTGTCAACCAGCTCCCAGTTTTTACAGATGAAACAGAGGCAGCCATGTTGAATGAGTAAAGAATTAAACTGATGGCTAACGTTGGTCTACTAAAACTTGTCACTGTTATTCACGTTTGAATAACAGTGACAAGTATTCTGTCAGAACCCACTCACTCAGTAACTGGAGACTGAAAGATAGGAATGTAAAATTGAAACATGTATCTTTTAATGAAAATAACTTTTAAGCGTTCTCTCCTGTACTAGGCAAATGTTTTCAGATATCTGACAGTATAAACATAAGATGTCTATGTGTCATTATATCTGAGATACTTCCTACTACTCTCATAGCCTGTTTGTGTAAAACTTTTTTTTAAAGTTTATTACAGTATTTAGAAATTCAAAATGAATAGAAAGAGAAGAAAACCTTAGAAGATAGGAAATTCAGGATGTATAAGAGAAGGAGAATAATGCGGAGAGAAATAGAAGGAAGAATTTCTTTAAGAAAAAGATGCCTTCAGTTAGGTTTTAGCTCTGTGAAGGTGGTTGTAGCTCTTTATAGAGTTAAAGAGATCTAGCTTACAAATGGCAATAGTAAATAATAATAGTTAACTTTGTTGAAGTCTGTGCTAGAAAGTGCTAAGTATTTTAAACATCTTATGTCATTAACCCTTGCAGTCTCCCTGAGGATAGGTTCTGTTGATATTTCCACTTCATACATGAGTAAACCAGATCTTAAGAGAGGTTAAGGAACTTGCTCATAGTCACATAGTAAGTGGTTAAGCAAGAATTCCTCCTCGATTTCTCTGATTCTGGAGCCCTGTGATGCTATACTTCCAAAACATCTGGGCATGTTTTGCCCTGTTGGTGAGAAGTATTATAGACTGTCATTCAACATTTATTGAACCCCTATGTGTAGAACACCACTGTCCAATTGTAAAACCAGTACCGATCTTCAAGGAATCTCCTATCTAACTAGGATATGTATACACACATATACATACACACACACACACACACACACACACACACACACACACACACACACACACACACATTTGAAAGAGAAGAATACTTAAAAGAAAACACAAATAGGTGCAAATTAATGTAATCCAAACAGTCTAGATATCATTTGGTAGCTAAATAGAACAAGGTTAAACCAGAAAGCTACCATTCTATTTTTAGACCTTAATAATATTTTTCTGGTTTTTGGTTGTCATAGACTCAGTAATAAGACAGCCAGGGACTGCAACTGAAGTCTGGCTGAGTAAGAGAAGAGAATGCCTTACAGTGTCATTTTGGGAATTGAAGTCTCTGTTTTGATGCCTCAAGTTCAGCTACTTATGATGGGAATGTTAGTGCTTTAGACCAGTGCTTCTCAAACTTTAATGTGCATGTGAATCCCCTGGGGATCTTGTTAAAATAAAGAATCTGATTCAGTAGGTCTGGGGTGGGGCTTGAGAATCTGTGCTTCTAACATGTTCCCAGGTGAGGCCACTTCTGCTTCAGGGACCACTCTTTGAATATTAAGGCTAAGAATTTGACCATAAACTGTTTTATCAAAAAAGAAAATAAGTATCAGGTGAGGCAGGGCAAGGGCAGCAATTTTGAACTTAAATATCTATGTATGTGTTGAAATAATACCTTGTCATCAAACATAGTCACAGAAGATAGGGATAAGTGTAAATACCATTATATTAGGCAACTTTGAAGAAGATATAATCATCACAGTTCTCAGCAAACTAACCTGATAATTATATATGCACAACTACTGACTATATTTAAGGTGTGCCTACTGAGTTTAATCAGTGTTAAAGAACAGTATTTAAATATGTCTTAGACATTAGTTATTAGAAGCAGGATAAATGATAGTTAAGAATGTAAGCTTCCAGAAGTAAACTCCTAAGGTTCAAAAACTGGCTTCCACATAGTAGCCTTGTGACTGCAGGTCAAGGTGCTCCTCTCTCAGTGACCCCTTCCTCATCTCTGAAATGGAGATAATCCTAGTAAAGATCTCATAAAGTTGTTATAGGGTTTTGAAAAAAATAATACATATAAAGCATCTTATGCCATGCCTAACAGTAAATTGTCTATAAATGATGGCTATTGTTACTAATATCAGTATGATTTCTATTAATGAAATATTAGGCTAAATGATTCTGAAGGTCTTTGCCTTGCTAATGCTAAGATATGATTCTGATTATGTATTGGTGTGTAATCAGAATATGCCCCCTTTCAAGTGCTAAGGTAATAAATGATTTATATGTACTTTCTGAGCCAGCTGCCACTAAATGCTGCTCTTGTGTCTTAGGTTGCTTTTAATGCAGCAATTTTGATCATAGGTAAATACACATTTGAAAATCCATTCATTAAAAATGTATTAAGAAGCTACAAAGCATTGAGCTAAATGACTGTTCCTCTCCTCAACCAAACCCAAATATTAAACCAAACTCTTAATATTCATCATTAGTTTCAATCTCTACATAGCCATCAAAGAGCAATTGCTTTATCATTAGTGGTAATCTGTGCTCAGAAATGAGCTGAATTTCAGCTGTCCTACATATAGGAACACTCTAATTTTCTCCTAAAATGGTTTTACTAACTTTAAGTTTCTGTTATTTCAGACCCTAAGGGTCTCTTGCTCTTAGCATCTACCTCTGCTTCCTTCTGCTCAAATAAGGCACGTGGCTGCCAAACCTTTCATTGGGTTAAGTATTAATATGGACTAAATTGAGCTAATCTCACTTGGTGGCTAAAATAACTGACCTAATTCTACAGCTTTCTTGAGCATTTTTAATAGCAATTAATTTAACATAAAATAAGATCTAAAATGTGGACTCTTTTCCTTCCTCCCATGACCCTTTTATGCTTTATCAGAGGATAATTTTAGGTAGGAAATGGCTCCTTGTATCCTTCCTCTGAAGGTCTCGTCTTTGCTTTGGGCAGGATGGTTTAAAGGTGTTTAGTTTAAAAATGTCTAGAAACCACACAGTTACATCTGGCTTAGAGAAACCCCTTTCCTTTATTCTCATGGCTTACGTGTTTTAAGCATATATACTGTAGAGCCAATACAGCACTCTTCATTCTCTCTTGACAAATAAACGTTTGTATGAACAGTTTTTTCTCTTTCCTTTTGATAATTTTGGTATCAAAGATCACAAACTTAGAAGAACAGTTAGAACAGTTCAGAGAAGAACTGGAAAATAAGAATGAAGAAGTCCAGCAGCTACATATGCAATTAGAAATACAGAAAAAGGAATCTACTACTCGCCTACAAGAACTTGAACAAGAAAACAAATTATTTAAGGTAATTACTTAAGGAAAACTTTGCCTCTAAATAATTCATTGTGTTTGTCTTGTGTAGTAGTTGTAGTATTAAGCATTTGCTAAATCCAGCCACTAAATAGTACTTAAAAAAGGAACATTAGCTGCAGATGGATTTGCATGGAATTTATCTTCAAGCCAACGTAAACATTTGAATTCATCAGAAATGAAAAATTTTGGAGACCTTTATCAAAACATTTTAAGAATTATTGATTTACAATAATTATATAATAGCTCTGATTTTTTTTTTCATTTGTATGTTTTAGATGCTATAGCTTGGTAAGAGTTAATTGACAGAATGTTCCGAAAATCACCTGTAATGCCCTATCCAACTGGGATGGTTATTTTTGTTCCTAGGATGAAATGGAGAAACTGGGATTTGCCATAAAGCAAGCTGATCCTATCTCTACCCAGGACCAACATGTACTATTTGGGAAATTTGCTCAAATAATGCAGGAAAAAGAGGTAGAAATTGACCAATTGAATGAGCAAATTACAAAACTTCAGCATCAACTTAAAATTACAACAGATAACAAGGTACACTAATTTAACATTATTACATGAAATTATTTAAACTAGAATTTTATTTTTATTTTTTATTGAAGTATAGTTGATTTACAATATTGTATTAGTTTCATGTGTACAGCAAAGTGATCTAGGTTTGTTTTTGGTTTTTTCAGATTATTTTCCATTATAGGTTATTACAAAATATTAAACAGAGTTCCCTGTGTTATAAAGTAAATCTTTGTTCTTTATCTATTTTATGTATAGTAATTTGTGCTGCTATGAACATTGGGGTGCATGTATCTTTTCAAATTAGAGTTTTTGTCTTTTGTGGATACATGCCCGGGAGTAGGATTGCTGGATCATATAGTAACTCTGTTTTCAGTTTTTTAAGGAACCTCCATACTGTTTTCCATAGTGGCTAAGCTAGAATTTTAAAGGGCAAGATGGTTATTTTTCAGTTTCTTTGTGAATGTAAAAACCAAGTAAAACTTTAATTCTCTTTAACCCGTTAATTTCAATTTAATAAGACATACTGGTTTAACAAGCTATGTATATGTTTATCCCTTCCTAACATTGTCAGAGATTTTTGATGTTTTATAGGGAGTCTCTGGTGACTCAGATTTCATCATATCACTCTAACCAAATCTATTAAAAATTCTTCTATTTTGTGTGAGTTAAATAAGATAATGACATTTGAGCACTGTTTTAGACTTTTATTTCAGTACTTTATCCTGTTATAGACTGTTATATTTCAGTACTGCATCCTTTTTTGATTAGATTGTATTGATATTGACTATTTTACTTATAGGAAATAATCTATTAAATGCCTAAATCACTTTATGTTTAATGACTTTCTGAATGAAGTTCTAAATAAGGTCCTTGTTTGATGTGATGGAGGACTGTTGGTCTATATTAAAATTAATTTAGGATGTCTGAGAAGTAAATTATTTTTGTGTGTGTGATCAACACTTTAAGATCCTGCCCTAAAATAAAATAAAATTCCCTAAATATAAATACATATTTATTGTATATGTTACTTTTTTGTTAACTAATAGGTTATTGAAGAAAAAAATGAACTAATAAGGGATCTTGAAACCCAGATAGAATGTTTGATGAGTGATCAAGAACGTGTGAAGAAAAATAGAGAAGAAGAAATTGAGCAACTCAATGAAGTGATTGAAAAGCTTCAACAGGAATTGGCAAATATTGAACAGAAGACATCAGTGGTTACTGATTCTCTCCCAGAAGAAGCAGACAGTTTAAAACATCAGTTGGATATAGTAATAGCTGAAAAACTGGCTTTGGAACAGCAAGTAGAAACCACTAATGAAGAAATGGCCTTGACAAAAAGTGTACTTAAAGAAACCAATTTAAAAATGAACCAGCTAACACAAGAATTATGTAGCTTAAAGAGAGAACATGAAAATATGGAAAAAATCCATAGTATACCAGAGAAAAGTGTTAACATGGCTGTAGACGATCTGAGCAGAAACAAACCTGGACTAGAAGTAGTCCTTACTGAGGGTGCTCATAAACCCGTAGAAAATCCGACTTACCTCAAATCTTTTGAAGAAAACAGCAGAGTTTCCATAAGCAGTTTGCAAACACAGGTGCTACAACTTGAGAGCACTGTGAGTGCAAAGGACTTAGAACTTACCCAATGTCATAAACAAATAAAGGACCTACAGGAGCAAGGCCAGTCTGAAAAAGAAGCACTGAAAAAGAAGATGGCAAACCTGCAAAATATACTTGAGGAAAAGGTGGCTGTTGCTCTTGTGAGTCAGGTCCAACTCGAAGCAGTTAAAGAATATGTAAAATTCTGTCAAGATAAACAAGCAGTTTCACCAGAACCTGGAGGAACAAATACACAGAATTTAAACCAACTAACAGAAAATGAGGTGGAGTCAAATGTGTCAGCACTGACCTTGAGAATATCAGAATTAGAAAGCCAGGTGGTTGAAATGCAGGTAGAAACTGCAGAAAAAAATGCTTTGGAAAAAGAAAAGAAGCTACTAGAACTACAGAAGCTTTTGGAGGACAATGAGATAAAACAGGGAAGCAAAGAAAGGAAAAGAAGCCCTCTAGGAGATTTTGAAGTTCTCAAGGTTAGTTTGTATTTGATTTTTTTCCACTTAAATACCCTAAGAAACTAACTCTCTTTTCCCTATTCCTTAAACTTACTGCTACTTTATTAAATACAGTGTTCTTTACACCTAGCAATTCATATATAAAGGGTTTTTATAAAAAATATTACCATTCCATGCAGTCATTATTATCACCAGAACAATGGATACAAACTATATTTTGTGGTCTTAAAATCACAATATTTATTTCACTACCATAGTCATTAAGTAGAGCAGTCAGAAGAAACTTGGAAATGTTAAGTATAGCAAATGTCCTCTGGAACTTGTGTGGGTTTTTTCCTTTTTCCTCTAACATGCATGTTAAGTGGTCATCATCCCTTTTAAGTAATGAAAATGTCAAAATATATTAGTGTTCTAGTGAATTAATGTATGAGTCTTAAGTCATTCACTTTTGCAGATTTTATACCTCATAATAGATTTCATCCTTTCACCCCTTTAAGTCTACTTATGTAAAGATCTGAAATCACAGTTATTTCTTAGCATAGGATAGGACAGGTGTGAAAGGACTTTAATTTTCAAATTCTCGCTTTATATATTTATAATTTTGAGAAGTTAATGTACAGTCCTATCTGGACACCAGAAATTAACTGATATATTAGGATTCTATAAATATTTATTTTGCAAAGGATAACAATTCTTTCCATTTACTAGGCTTTTTCCTCCTAGCTCACTGGAACTATATAAATTACTGTAAATGATATTTAAAATAGTAATGTGATGGGACTTCGCTGGTGGTCCAGTGGTTAAGAATCCGCCTTCCAGGGCTTCCCTGGTGGCGCAGTGCTTGAGAGTCCGCCTGCCGATGCAGGAGACGCGGGTTCATGCCCCGTTTCGGGAAGATCCCACATGCCGCGGAGCGGCTGGGACCCCCCCTTCCAATTCAGGGGACGTGGGTTCGAACCCTGGTCGGGGAACCAAGATCGCACATGCCACAGGGCAACTAAGCCCTCATGTCGCAACTACTGAGCACATGAGCCACAACTACAGAGCCCATGTGCTCTGGAGCCTGCACGCTGCAACTACTGAGCCCACGTACCACAATTAGAGAGAAGCCCATGCGCCTCAACAAAAGATCCCGCATGCTGCAACGAAGATCCCGCCTGCCCCAACTAAGACCCGACGCAGCCAAAAATAAAATAAATATTTAAAAATAAATAAATAAAATAAAATAGTAATGTGACTATCCATATATATAAAACTTCTAAAGTAACACGTGGTATCTTTTGAGGAAAGTGATATAAATATGAAACTTTTTTGAATGGGTGAACAAAGTATTTTCATTAATTATAAAATTTTAGGATATGTTCTGATGACATGATTTGCCTTTCATTCCCAGAAATATCATTCTTTTCTTACTGTCTCAAGAATATAAAATGGGGACTTCCCCGGTGGTCCAGTGGTAAAGAATCCACCTTCCAATGCCGGGGATGTGGGTTCAGTCCCTGGTCGGGGAACTAAGATCCTACATGCCGTGAGGCGACTAAACCTGTGCACCACAACTACAGAGCCCACACACCCTGGAGCCTGCACGCCACAGCTAGAGAAGAGAAAAAAGGGAAAAATCCCCGCACGCCACAACTAGAGAGAAGTCCGCATGCCACACCGAAAGGTTCCGCATGCCTCAGCGAAGATCCCGTGTGCCTCAGTGAAGACCCGATGCAGCCAAAAAAATAAAGAAAGAAAGAAAGAATATAAAATGATAGTTGTGGAGATTTTCCCTGTTTGTTGAAAGAACATGGATCATTTTAACCCCTTTTATCTGATAAGCAGTCTTTCCTGAAAAAGTTTTATTGGAATGCACAAGTACCTTGAACTTGGCTTTGTTTTTTGAAAATAATGTGTTCATGTTTTCCACTGCCGTTTAGACAACTACTGAGCTGATTCATACCAGTGAAGAAAATGAATTTTTTGGTCGATTTGAGACTCTTACAGCTGAGTCAGCAGCTACCAAAGAAGAACTTGCCAGTTATAAAGAGAAGGCAGAAAAACTTCAAGAAGAGCTTTTGGTAAAATAAGTAACATAGCTCCAATTTCTACCTATCTTAATTTTATTTCAAAGTGTATATTCTCTTATCACAAACCCAGATCTATAACTTAACAGCTAGAAAAAAACTTTTGTAAATTTGATGAAAAGGTATATAATTTTGTTACTGTCATCTTTCTTCTTTGGTTTTCCTTGGAATCTTTTTTAGGGATGCTTTTAATCTCTAGTCTATTAATGAAAGAGGAGAAAGACATGTTAAAGAGTACTGTATATCCCCTGAGAACCAAAAGTAGAGGCTGATCAAATGATTTCACTTCTGTGGTAATCTGTGACTATACATATATGTGAATATAGATGAAAACTGTGAGTGTTTCTGAAATGTTTTTCCTGTTATTTTTAGGAAAATGAACATATTAGCGTGAATTACACTCTCCTCTCTACCCTAAATTCTACATGTGATATTTTTAACTGAATGTTCTACTGTTCTATTCATTATGTTTTAGGTAAAAGAAACAAATATGGCATTTCTCCAGAAAGATTTAAGCCAAGTTAGGGATCAACTCAAAAAGGCAGAAGAGAGATTATCCTACTTCTTAGAAAAAGAAGATAATACCAAGGTACAAGAAAACAGAAAGTTCTGCACGTTAGAGCCACTTCCTATAGAAGTGGGTAAAAGCTCTGCATCACATGGTACTCTCAAGGTCAACAGCAGCAGTCAGACTCCACAAATTCTTGTTAGAAATGCAGGAATCCAAATTGATTTACGGAGTGAATGTTCATCAGAGGAAGTCACTGAAGTAATTAATCAGTTTACTGAAAAAATTGAGCAGATGCAAGAACTACATGCTGCTGAGATTCTGGATATGGAATCCAGACATATTTCAGAAACTGAAACCTTAAAGAGAGATCACTATGTTGCTGTTCAGTTACTGACAGAGGAATGTGGTACCTTGAAGTCAGTGATACAGTGTCTGAGATCTAAAGAGGTATTTGGTTTTCATAATGTGTTTTTTCAACATTCTATGATTTTTTTCTCCAGAATTCTATGTTTTTAAAGAGACAAAGAAATTTGGGGCAATCTCTTCTTTATGATAAAATTACAATTTAAAATCTTTGCATTGTGTAGAGTCAAATAATAATGTTCCACAAAGCTCCTGTGCAGATTTAGAACCCAATGTTATCATTCCTTAATTTATTAATGTCTCATATTATTACGGTAATATCCATGAAGAAAAAAATTAAAGACTTACTGTAAGCCTTGGATATTTCATTTATTGTAAAAGGTGTGACATATTTGTTTTTTTCTTTTTTGACAGCATTACAAAAGAATAAAACTATTCATTGGATCCTGTTTTTATTAAAGCACAAAAATGTTATCTTCTTTTGTTTTTTTTTTCTGATTAGGGCTCCTCAGTTCCTGAATTAACACATTCTGATGCTTACCAAAGTAGAGAAATATGTTCCAGTGGTAAGTTATATAAATTTCTAGAATTTGTATAGTACTTGTTTAAAAAGAGTTTGTTTCTCTTTAATAGTCAATGGTTTTCTTTATTTTAGATTCTGGATCAGACTGGGGTCAGGGAATTTATCTTATACAAAGTCAGGGATTTGACACAGCATCAGAAGGCCGAGGCGAAGAAGGTGAAAGTTCAACAGATTCATTTCCAAAGAAAATAAAGGTACTAAAAGGCAGACATCTTTTAGTAAAACTTTCTATATTGAACATAGCAGTTTATTAGAAGTTAGTATAGAAGATCTATACTATAGTAAGATCTCTCGGCAGAGAGAATTGCATAGCTAGAAGGAACCTTGGGGCTCTAGTTTTATTTCTGCAGATAATAAAGTACAGTATATTTAATAGTTATTTGTATAAAGATTTTTTTTTAATTTCTATTCCTAATATTTTTGTTTGCCAAAATTATTAAAGCAGTCCCAAAGACTAGAATTTATCTCCTATATATTTCTTTTGGTCAAATTAGTGCCTAATAATTAAATCCAGGAAGAGCACATTAGGTAAATGTGGAGCTTAGAGATGAGAGCTACACAAAGTCATAGGCTGTCTTCTGGGATTGGCTTACCCCTCCATAGGAAGAAGGCATTTAGTAATGGTAGGCTGGTGTTTCCTTTCTGCAGTGGGTTTTCTAAATCAGTCTAACTGGGATAAAACTATGTTAAAATTTGTTTCTCTTTTCATGTCTGACTTTGCAGTCTTTGAAAAAATGTCCTAATTCTGGCTTTTGGGTTATGGTTTCTAGGGATTACTGAGAGCTGTCCATAATGAAGGCATGCAGGTGCTCTCTCTTACTGAGTCTCCCTGTAGTGACGGAGAAGACCATTCTGTTCAGCAAGCTTCAGAATCTTGGCTGGAAGAGAGAAGAGCTTACCTCAGTACAATCTCATCTCTTAAGGATTTGATTACCAAAATGCAAATGCAAAGGGAAGCCAAGGTACTCAAAGAATATTATGCATCTAAAGAGCTTTATATGATTTTTATCAATAATAAGTCACTTTAAAAAATAAATTGTTGTCTTTTATGATGTATTTTCACATGAATTTCTATATACTGTTTAAATACCCCAAGTTGCACACTTGAAAATAAATCTGTATCCTCTTAGGCTTCTAATACTGATTTTGGTTAGTAGACAGGTATCATTTTTAGAACAGTTCTTAAACATGCTTATTTGAAAACTAACTTTTGTTTTTTATAGGTTTATGATAGTTCTCAATCTCACGAGAGCTCCTCTGACTGGCGAGGTGAACTTCTGCTTGCTCTTCAGCAGGTTTTCTTAAAGGAGCACGGTGTTTTACTAGCTGCATTTCAGACTGAGCTGACAGCTCTAGGTACTAGAGATGCAGTTGAATTATTAAACTGTTTGGAACAGAGAATACAAGAACAGGTATCAAAATGAAGCTTTAAATCAAACTTTAAAACAAAGAATGCTTTTTAATAGTAATGAGAAAATGAGCTATTGATTAGTTTTACAGTAAGTCTGAAGGTTAAAATTTTAACAGGAACCACTAAGAATATTTAGGAGAAAAATTATTACCTTAAATGTTTTGTCTTATGTTAGAAAATAAGCAAGACTAAAAATTAATGAGCTAATCATCCAACTTGGGAAGTTAAAAAAAGAGTAACAAAATAAGTCCAAAGAAAATAGAAGGAATAAAATACCATCAGTTCTCATTATTTGCAGTAGTTAGATTCTGTAAAGCTGCTGTGAATGTTGAGCTATTGCCACCAGGGGAAATAAGATGGGGGGGTGGGGGTAGGCTTCTGTGAGCACCTGGTGATGACATTTTTGTCAACCAGTCAATACAGAATCTTGTTTTATGTGTGTTTCTGTTTAAAGACACCCTATTTACTATGTATTGTTGACTCATTAACATTGAACTCATGGCCAACAGCATTATAACTTAAACCTAAACAAAGATTTTCTAACACATGCATTTTCTCTGTAATGTATCTTTCAGCCTTCTTATGCTTAGGCATACTAGATAGTACTTCATATCTATGCTTGGGGACCATTTTAAACAGCAAAATCAATAAAAAGCACAGAAGTATCAAAAATACAGCACTAAGTAGATAGCAAACAGGACACTTGTTTATAGTATAAGAGATGAAAGAAGACGGCAGAGTGTCACTTTGTTCGACTTCAGCTAGGAACATGCACATGTGGCAATTTAAATTTTTTGCTGTTGTGTGCACATGTAGGAGAGTAAACGTAAGAGCACCGCAAGTATTGAATTAAGGGTTACAGATAAATTTTAATGAGTAGGCAAATTCTTAAATATGTAATTCACAAATAATGAGGCTCAACTGTAATAAGGAAAAAAGAAATTAGTGAAATGCATACACTTGTACAGTAGAGAACATAAACACGTTTGAAAGTTGATTCTTTGAAAGGTTAATAAAATAGAAACTTCTGGAGAATAGGTTAAGGAAAATGATAAAGCACACTTTTTTAAAAATTAGGAATAAAAACGATTATAACTAAAGATATGGCTGAGATATAAAAGTAATAGAATACTATGAATAATTATACATCAATTCAAAAACTTTGGTGAAGTGGGCAGATATTTGCTTATGAAAGCTCATTCAGATCCAGCATTCCACTCCTGGGTATATATCCAAAAAAAAAAAACAAAAACACTAATTCAGAAAGATACATGCACTCCAAAGTTCATAGCAGCATTATTTACAGTTACCAAGATATGGAAGCAGCCTAAATGTCCATCAACAAATGAATAAAGGTGTGTGTGTGTGTGTGTATATCTATGCTCCCATTGTAAGATGATTGGAGAAACGCCCTGTCTTTTTATTAGAAAGCTAGTATAACCCTGTTACCAAAATCAGACAAAGATAATACAGGAAAGAAACTTTATGGGCCTATTTTATTCATGAACATAGATGCAGAAATCCTAAACAAAATATTAACAAGCCAAATCCACCAATGCATATTTTTTAGAGACACAATCACCGTATACTTATCCAGGGATGCAAAGGTAGCATACCATTAAGAAAAATTCATGTGACTCATCACTTTAACAAATTATAGGGTAGAAAACCCCAGTGATCGTCTCAAGAGATACAGTGAACAAATGAATGAATGTATTTCATATTTTAAAACACCTTAAAACAAATAACAAACTAAAAATAAAAAGGAATTTCATGAACTATATAACAGGTATATCTTGCAAAAACTACAGCAAGCATCATATCTGATAGTTAAATGTTAAAAACATTCCTTAACAAAGGGTTAAGTAGTTTGCTCAACCTTGTCCTAAAGATCTAGCTAGAAAAGAAAAGCAAGAGAAATTAAATAAGGGTAGGAATAGGGAAGACCCCTCATCCACTTACATAGAAAACCAAAGAGAATCTACACATGTAGATTTTTTAAATCGATAGGAAAGTTTGGTTATGTTGTTGGATGTAAGATCAAGATGTAAAAATCTTATTTCTCAACAACAAACAAAATGTAATTTTATGTATGTATTTACTTTTGGCCACGCCACACGACATATGGGATCGTAGTTCCCGGACCAGGGATCAAACCCACACCCCCTGCAATGGAAGTGTGGAGTCTTAACTGTTGGACCACCAGATAAGTCCAAAATTTAATTTTAAAAATAATTATTTACAGTGGCATTAAATGGACAAATTCCTAAAAGTATACAAACTACTAAAACTAAGTCATGAAAAAATAGAAAATCTGAATGTATAACAAAGAGTTAAATTAGTAATTTTAAAACTTGTCACAAAGTAAAGTTCAATATCATATGACTTCACTAGTGAATCCTACCAAATGTTGAAAGAAGAATTAATACCAGTTCTTCACAAACTCTTGCAAAATAAAGAAGGGAACACTTCCCAGCTCATTTTATGAGGACAATATTGTGCTGATTCTAAAGCCAGACAGAAATACCACAAGAAAATAAATCTACAGACCAAATATCTAATGAGAATAAAACAACCAGTGGAAAAATGGACAAGTGACATAGATATGCGCTCATGGAAGAAATATAGAGTATCCAATAAATATATGCAAAGATGCTCAAATAAAATGTGCTATATAATTCATACTATGGAATACTATATAACATTGAAAATGAGTGTGAATTAGAGCTATATGTGTCAGGCAGGATGGTTCACTAACATGTTCAGTGAAAAAGGCAAAGTTAAACAAAAATGAATACAGTATGATGCCATTTATATAAAGTTTTAAAACAACTGTATATTTTTTAGGATATGTGTGTGTGTGTACAGAGTACATGAAAATAACACCAGACTTAGAATTTGGTTATTTCTTGAGCAGATGGTGCAGAGGAGGATGTATTCAGGGAGTTGTACACAGGAGACTTCAGCTGTATAAGGGCTGTTTCTTAGGCTAAGTGCATGGGTGTTTATTATATTATTCATCATGTTTTATTGTGTGTTTAAAGAATTTTGAAATAAATGTGGAAACTATTATCTAAAAAGTAGATCCCAATGAGCAGGAAGAGAACATTAGTAACATCTTCCCAAAATTTTAGCATGTCATTCTTCAGACTTCCTGGTTGTTAATTTTATTGTCTTTACAACTCTCTTGATTTTTTTTTTCCCAGGGTATTGAATATCGAGCAGCCATGGAATGCCTCCAGAAAGCAGATAGAAGGAGTTTGTTAGCTGAAATTCAAGCGCTGCATGCTCAGATGAATGGTAAGAAAATGACTCTGAAAAGAGAACAAGAGAATGATCAACCAAGCCAAGGTATGCTATATGACAGGCTCATGTGGTGACACAAATAGGTGAAACGATTTCACTTTATTATTATTCAGTTAAAACACATTTCTTCTTAGTCACATTTTCTTCTCATTCTCACATCAGGAAGTTAATCTACATTAATTACTCTAGGGAATTAAAGGGGTGTCCAATTTGTTTTAAGAGATACGTATGTGTGTTCGTGTTTGTGTGTGTGTGTGTCTATATATATGTGTATACACACATATATATAATATTTTTTAATTTTTTTTTAGAGTTGAAAAATATTTGTTTACATTAGGGTTCTCTGACCAGGCAAAAACATCTTCTCAGCTTTGGGAATGAAATAAAAAATGCTCAGTTATGCTGTGCCATCTAAGCTTATTGCTGCATCTTAAAAGCAGCACTTCTTGAATTTGGGAAGAGGAGGTAGTAGTGGAGGTAAGGGGGTTATTGCTCAGTCGCAAGAGAAAAAATGCTGTGTGCACCAGACAGGCTGGTAAGGACATGCTTTAAAATATCAAAGGACTTTGCTTTTATCTCCTGTAGAGGGTGAAATTGGCTTTAGTTAGCTATGTGTGGAGAGAGAATGATGGTGAACTCTTACAGAATACTTTAATCCAACAGACAGCAATTTTCTGACATATAAACAGATACATTTAATTTAAAATGAATAAGCATTGCCTTGATCAGGTTGTTTCGCCCATTAAGTTCATTATCTTTCTTTGTTTTGAAGCTCTATGTGAGGATAACCCAAAAGAAAAAGAAATTCTCAATGGAAGTAACGATTTCTTTTTAATACCTTTTTTGTGTGTGCGAACTGTTAACATACATACAAAAAAGTGCAAAATGCAAAAATATACAGTATAAAAACTATTAAATGAATATCTGTGGAAACCTCATCCATGTCAAGTATTCCAGAATTCCCCTTCTGCTACTCTGTAGTAATATAGAACACATCTTCCTCTGTGGTACCCTTGAGGTAACCATTGTCCTGATTTTTTAACTGCCTATTTATATATTCCTAAAAAAGGTTTTTCTTGCTCTTGAACTTTATCACTCTGTATATATTTGCGTCTTGTCTCTCACCTCTCTGTAACATTCTTCTAAGTTACCACATTTATCTCTAGTTTATTCATTTTTGTTACTGTATAGAATTCCCTTGTGTGAATATTTCACAATTTATATATCCATTCTGCGGTTGAACATTTAAGTTGTTTCTACTTTTTAGCTATTAAATTCAGTCTCTTCTACACATTGTTATGCCATGTTTCTGATGCATACATGCATGAGTCTTCTGGATACATACCCAGGAGTAGAATTGCTAGATCATAGAGTACATATCATCAAATTTATTAAACAATGCCAGACTGTTTTCCAAAGTGGTCATAACAATTTGTGCACTTTCTAGCAGTACATGAAAGTTCTGTTGCTTCACATTTTGGCCAAAAGTTGATATTGTCAGCCTTTCGTTGCCAATCTGGTGGGTATGTGGTGGATTGTTGTTGTGGTTTTAATTTACATTTCTCTAATAACTGAATTGGCTTATTTGTGGTATGATTATTGGCTAGCTGGATTTTTGCTTTTGTGGTGTGCTTGTTCAAATCTTTTCACTTTTCAATAGAGGAATCTTAAATTGAGCTTCAGCTGGAAATTATTAGAGATTAAAGTGAAATTTTTCATCATACCTAGTGAAGACACATACATGTCTTTGTCTTCATTTCTGTTTAATATAAAGGTAGAAACACCTATACTTTTGCCAGTTTTGAAAGTTATACCAGTCTCACATTTGTCATTGAAAAGCTGAAGAATTTAAATATCTTTAAATATTTTAGAGAAAACAGGTATAATGAGGTTACAAATTAAATATATCCCTTATATTTAGACATAGGATTAATTGCAGATTATTTTTGGAGAATTTATTAGTATTTTACTTAACTAAATAGGACCCTGATGAAAGCTTAGTTAGTGTCACATAGATACATATTTGTAAATGTAAATCCTTAGACTCTACTCTCTAAGAAATAGTTTTAAAAGCCTCACTTAGCATGAATACTCTAAAGCCAATGTAATTCCTATCTCCTGACATCAGTAATCTGAATTGTAATAGGAAGTAATGAACTTTGATAAAATTTATTAAGTTAAAAATACACTTAGGGTAGAATAGAGAAACAGAAGAACAGAGTAAAAATCACCCCTGGAATCTCCTAAATCCTAAACTAATGACTATTAAAACCCAGGAAATATGTCTCCAGACACATTTCATTGTGCATATGTACATAAGTTTATATTTTTTATAAAAATGGATCCTGATGTATATATTTCATTACATTTTTTTCATTTATTATCCTTAGGGATTTAAATATTTCACTTTGTTTTCATTGTGACAGACATGTAGCAAGGGTTCGGTATGTTTTTAAAGAAAAATCCGTGATCCAAATTGGCGTTTGGACTTCCCACTTTTGTTATAATGAAATTCCTAGGGACCGTCTGCGAAGGAGGGCTGAACAAAACAAGCAAGCAGTGCTAATCATTGTAGTCAGAGTTACGGGGTGACTCCTGCAAGTACTTCGGCTATCAAAAACCATTGGAATTTTTTAGTGTGAGCTATCAAAATTCTGAATGAACAAATATAAGTTCCTATTTATAGTATTATGTGAACACCTCAAGTTTTTTTTTTTATTTCAAGTCTCGTATCCAGTAATGAATTGTTAAGTTTTTATCATCCTTATATATTTATACAGAGTTCTGAAATCTTGACAATATAGCACTATGAGGAAAATATGCATATGCATGTATTTATATAAATAGCTAACTTTGGGGGCTGTAATCTTTTCACATTTACTTTATAGTAATCTCTTAAATAACAAGTCAGTTATTATCAACAAAATATAAGCCAAATACGAGTTGCTAGATCATATTTTAAATATTAATAATTTTTCATTTAGAACTCTTGGAATGTAATATGCAGCAGAAGCAGTCTCAAATGCTGGAGATGCAAGTGGAGCTCAGCAGTGTGAAAGACAGAGCAACAGAACTTCAGGAACAGCTGAGTTCTGAGAAAATGGTGGTTGCTGAACTGAAAAGTGAACTTGCACAAGCTAAACTGGAACTAGAAACAACACTCAAGGCACAGCATAAACACCTAAAGGAATTAGAGGCATTCAGGTGTGCTAGGCTTCCTAATTATAAACCTGTATTAGTGAAGGACTGGGAGTAATTTTGTCACAGACATTGTGCAGATCTTACAAAAATGTAACATTGTATATAATATTTAAATAACATAAAACTGTTACTTATAGGAAAAAGTACAGTGGAAAGGAAGCACCCAAAATTTTTCCAAATGATAAACTCATGATTAGGTGTTTTGGCATATTCTCTACGTGGCTTCAGTTCTGTTTGAGACTTGTTGTTGTATAAGATACATAAATTTGACCTCATTTTACCACCAAGTAATTTGTAGTGATATTTATGATCCCAATGGAATTCATGGTTTAGTTAGCTAAAATATGCAAAATTTTTTGAAGATAATGCTTGTAAAAAGGATAAATTTGTTGGTGTAAATACTGAGATAGTCTGCTTGCCAAGGACACATTACAATTATAGTCATTATTTTGAACTTTTTCACACACAAACAGTGGTTCTTATGGTCAGCAGAAGTTAAAGGAAATTTTTATTCATATTATTTTGTAACAATAAATTGTTTACAGGGGTAAATAATAACTAATAGATATATTACTAGAAACAGTTAACTTGACTGAACCACAGTCAAAAAATCTTTAATCTTTACATGGTTTATATTTTCCTATTAGCGGGTTTATATTTTCCTATTAGTGAGTTTATTTTTTATTATTATTATTTTTTAATTAATTTATTTATTTTTGGCTGCTTTGGGTCTTTGTTGCTGCACACAGGCTTTCTCTAGTTGCGGCGAGTGGGGGCTACTTTTCCTTGTGGTGTGCAGGCTTCTCATTGCAGTGGCTTCTCTTGTTGTGGAGCATGGGCTCTAGGCACATGGGCTTCAGTAGTTGTGGCACGTGAGCTCAGTTGTGGCTCACGGGCTCTAGAGCGCAGGCTCAGTAGTTGTGGCGCATGGGCTTAGTTGCTTCGCGGCATGTGGGATCTTCCCGGACCAGGGATCAAACCCATGTCCCCTGCATTGGCAGGAGGATTCTTAACCACTGAGTCACCAGGGAAGCTCCACCTAGTTTATAATATGCCGCCACTTTTCAGTGGAAGCTGTTCTCTGTCAATAATATACTTGGTCAAAGTAGTTTTATGAAAATTCATTTGTCTCTGTGATTTAGGTTGGAAGTTAAAGATAAAACGGATGAAGTACATTTGCTTAATGACACATTAGCAAGTGAACAGAAAAAGTCCAGAGAGCTCCAGTGGGCTTTGGAGAAAGAGAAAGCCAAGCTGGGACGCAGTGAAGAGCGGGATAAAGAAGAACTTGAGGTATTGTTATCTTTGTCTTTAAATATCTGTGAAAAAATCCACAGTGATAGAAGAGAGACATTCCTCTTCCTATAATGTTGACCTTAGACTCATTATTAGGTATAATAAGTCGTTCACTATATGTTGACTATTATAATGTTATCTAAAGTATTGTCAGGAATTGCTAATGGTATGATCTTTTTTGTTTTGCTGCATCCAAGGATGCATAGAGACTGTTCTGCTACAGCATGTGTTTTAGGAATTTGAATTAGTGCATATATAATTTGATAAATACGGCAGTTGTGTCTTTTTAACGTAGAAGTAGCTTAGGTTCCTGTTTTCTCCTAGGGAAGGAGAACGGCGATACTTTTCTGGCAGCAGGAGCCCTTGCTACTATATTTTAAGATGCTGGGCTCTCTCCCAGAGAGGCACACCCGAGCCTTGCACAGCTCACAGCTCAAAGCAGGTTGTACTGCAGGCAGTGCCACTTTAACAGTTCCCCCTGGCTCGGAGCTCTTCTTCTATCCATATAATCCTGGTACTCACTAGCTCTGTGCTAAAAAACTGTGTAGCCAGAATCCAGATTTTCTGCCCTGTTACTTTTTTGGGTTTTTTGTTTGTTTTTTTTTAATGTCCACCATGGATGGTAGCCTCCAGGCACAGTGAGCTTTCTACCTAGCAAGGACATGTTATTTCCTCAGGTATTGATTACTATTTTTTTTAATCATTACAGATTTTTATAGGTTTTGAGTAGTTTGTCCCTAACCCTGCTCTCCTCATAAGCCCTATTATTTTTAGTTATGTGGTAGGGTATTGGAAAATTCAAGGGTTTTCAGGAACTCCCATCACATTATTTCAGAAATACTTTTATTTTCTTTTTTTTAAAAACTTTATTTATTTTATTTTGTTTTTATTTTTGGCTGCATTGGGTCTTCGTTGCTGTGCGTGGGTTTTCTCTAGTTGCGGGGAGTGGGGGTTACTCTTCGTTGCGGTGCCTGGGCTTCTCATTGTAGTGGCCTCTCTTGTTGCGGAGCACGGGCTCTAGGTGCACAGGCTCAGTAGCTGTGACTCGTGGGCTCTAGAGTGCAGGCTCAGTAGTTGTGGCGCACGGGCCTAGTTGCTCCGCGGCATGTGGGATCTTCCGGGACCAGGGCTCAAACTCGTGTCCCCTGCATTGGCAGACAGATTCTTAACCACTGCGCCACCATGGAAGCCCAGAAATACTTTCATTTTTAAAGGTTATTAATCCTAGAAGAAATGTACTCTGCTTCATATTTCTTAACCAGATATGATTAATGTTGGGAGAGAAAGTATTACGTAGCTTAGCTCTATTTTGTTGATATTCTTTGATGAAAATCAACTGGCTGTCCAAATAATTACACTCTAACCACTGAAAATACAAGTTAGTAAATTGGATAATCAGTTCTTTTACCAGATACTATCAACTTAGTATTAATAAAGGCACAATTGTATACTTAATATTATTGAAAGTATTCTCCATAATATTAACATAAATTCTTAAATTCAACTTTCTCCTACAAGGATCTGAAATTTTCACTTGAGGGTCAGAAACAAAGGAATATTCAGCTAAATCAACTTTTGGAACAACAGAAACAACAGCTAAATGAATCACAGCAGAAAATAGAATCACAAAGAGTGCTACATGATGCCCAGTTATCCGAAGAACGAGGTCGAAACTTGGAGCTTCAAGTACTTCTTGAATCTGAGAAAGTTCGAATTCGGGAAATGAGCAGTACCCTGGATAGGGAACGGGAATTACATGCACAACTACAGAGCAGTGATGATAGTGGGCAGTCTCGGCCATCCTTACCCTCTGAGGACCTCCTTAAAGAGCTTCAGAAACAGCTAGAGGAGAAACACAGTCGCATAGTAGAATTGTTAAATGAGACTGAGAAATATAAACTGGATTCTTTGCAAACAAGACAGCAAATGGAAAAGGATAGGCAGGTTCACAGGAAGACGTTGCAGACAGAACAAGAGGCCAACACTGAGGGACAGAAAAAAATGTATGAGCTTCAATCCAAAGTGGAAGATCTTCAGCGCCAACTGGAAGAGAAAAGGCAACAAGTTTATAAGTTAGACCTTGAAGGAAAACGACTGCAAGGAATTATGCAGGAATTCCAAAAGCAGGAACGAGAACGAGAAGAAAAACGAGAAGGTAGAAGAATTCTGTATCAGAATCTTAATGAGGTAAATTGACATTTTGTTTTAAAATATTTTTTAAAACAATACTGTAGCCGTGTGATCATATAATTTTGGTATTGGATTAAATTATTTAAATAGCTATGTACAAATCATTTAAAAATGAAATCTATAGAAGTTTATTTGGAATAAAAACAATAATTGTATTCCCCTAAGAAAGAATGTGATGTGCTATTTATTTTATAATGATTGCTCTTTTTCTGTCCAAAATTGCCAGCCAACCACTTGGAGTTTAACCAATGATCGAACCAGAAATTGGGTGCTTCAACAGAAAATAGGAGAGACAAAGGAATCAACCTATCCTAAAATGATTGAAATGAATGGAGGAGGAGCTGGCTATAATCATGAATTAGAAATGATCAGACAAAAACTTCAACGTGTGGCTTCAAAACTACAGCATCTAGCCCAGAAAGCCTCCAATAGGTTAGAATTTTCTGCCTGACCTTTGGAAATGGCATTCTTAGAAAAGCTGGACAGAATCTGTCCCTCACTCTTAGCTAGCCAGGGGTGGGAAATTCAAATTTTAAAGTTAATTCATGTTTATATTAGGAGGTGATATTCTTTAACAAAACTCATATA